ACATGTATTTTCTTTATTCTAAAGTCAATGTCAGCCAGAAAATCTATTGCTCATTACAGTGTATGGTGAAATTTTTCTACACAAGTGCTCAGGTAAAAGATAAAAAAGAATATCAAGGAAAATGGTAGACAGGTGAAATAGATAGTAATTGACTCCTTTGCTTCTGGAGCCATCTGTGTTTAAGGACAATTAATAAACTCTGTATAGAAATTTATTGAAAAATTTCTGCCGTGTCAACATGTAATGTAATTAGCAGCACATGCAAAATATAGTGATAGTGTGAGGCTTGGGGGTCAAGCCCCCAGGTAAGAAAGTGCTATATGACAGCAAAGTTCATATGGTAAAGTATAGTAGTGAGAAGAGTTAGGAATGAGTTAATGATTAGGGTAAAGTTACAGGTTGAACAGTACTAGAGGTTAGCATGGTAGTGAAAAGGGTGGGTAGGGGGAGCTGATTGCTCCTTGCTCAGTATGAACATGCCATCATCCCTAGCTGCATCGTTAAATTTCATGATTATATATATACACCTTTATATTCATTGAGCCTGCATTCACAATTTATGATGATGTGCAGTAAAATGAAATAAAATTCAATGAGGATAGTGTAAAATTATATTCATTTTATTTATTATATTCTTTTATATCTCAGATACATGAAAGTTTAATACACTTACTGCCACACCCAATACCTTGTATAAAGTAAGTGAATAGAAATTTTGGCAGTTTATATCTTAAAACTGATGTTGAATGTTTATATGTAAGATGGTTTCCATTTTTTCACTATGCTAGATATACTATACCTCATCTGGTTGGTCATATTTTTTACCTTTTTTTTTTGCATTTTGTGCTACTTATTCAGCTTGGAAAATTGCCTTTTCACTGATATTTTACTTTTGTTTTACTCAAACTAGAATAACATTTCAGGCCATAGCTTTCTTCTGTTCAGAAAAGAAGTTTATTGATCTAAATCGGAAACTCCACTATTTTCTGCTGAAATCTCCCCACATGATACCACTGTGTTGTATACAGGAATTGCCTCACTGTCCATGATACCATGATACCCCCTACTCCTATTTTGCCAGTAACTCCTTTTTGAAACCTAGTGCAAATACAAAGAAAATTGTCTTTGGTGATGTCTGTCCCCTTTAATGATAGCCTTATTGATTGGAAGGTATGAAAGGGATTAAACGTTAAAACAGCAAGATTAAAAACCTATATCTGGAAATATTAACATGCTGCTGTCGGAATTGATATGTACGAACAAAGCCAAAGTATCATATATTGTCTCTACACATAGAAGGCTTCACAAAAGCTTAAGTCACCAATGAGTCATTCACTAGTCTGACCTATCTCAACTTCTTATCCCTTTCCTTGATTTTGGAACCATTTTATTTTATATTGCTCTTAGTATTGTTAATAAGACTGTACTGATTATAATGTCAATAATAATAAAATGTATCAGTATGAAAAGCAGTAGAAAAAATTAAATTGGAAAACTCAAGGAAGGGGAAATCAGCTGACATCATGTACACTACTAATGGTTAATAGTTAAAACAGATAAATGTGTTAGACATCAAGGTCATATAGCACTATACTACTAATGACTCCTTGGTGGCTGAGTACTTGTGAAGCTATCTGTGTATAGACATTTATTTATTTATTGAAAATTTTCTGCCATGTCCGCATCGAAGGTCATTAGCAGCATATTCAAAACATAGTGATAGCATGAGGCCTAGGGAAAAAGCCCCCAGGTAAGTTCTGTATGACATCAAAGGTAAATTAGAGAATTGAAAAGGGTTAGAAATTAGTTGATGACCTGGGCAGTTATAAGTTGAACATTACTAGAGGGTAACATGGTAGTGAAAAGGGTAGAGAGGGGGAGCTGATGGGGTATAATATAAAATAAAGGTTGTTAGAAGGGGAAGGAGTTAAGAGAGTAGGGAGCATTATGATAAAGTACTGTGGCAATAATGGCAAAAATGAGTTTAATGATTAGGATAACTGGACATAACAAGGGGATAAAGAAAAGGAAAAGGAAATGAGAAGAAGAGACCATGCAAAAGTAGTTGAGGCGAGGGCCGAGGACCAAGGTAGGGGTGATCTCCTACATTGGGCCTCAGTCCCCATCTCCTAAGCTCCCCACGACAACGAACAAGGGACTGGGGGTGAGAGAGTAGATACATTTCACAAAATACTTCTGTGGACATCCCTCCTTTCTGTAGACACTTTATAATGACTTGTTTTTCTCAGAATCAAAGAAATATCCCCTTGATCCCAGTGAAATTGTGGTTTATTGCTGTCCACAAGTTCAGTACTTTTCTAAATGAAGCATATCGGTTAACAGGAATGATGTTGGGAAACTTGTGTGTCCAGTACTAAGAAGTTATACCTGCCCTAATTGTGGAGCCACAGGTGATGCAGCTCACACAGTCTCATATTGCCCCAGCAAGAAGCAGCCTCACAATTCTCAACCCTTGGCTGTCAAACTGAAGAACACAATGCGTAATGCCTCATCCGTTCGACGATTTAACCACTAACACAGTAGTTGTGTTGCGAGTTTTGTTTGGTTTACTCTTATAACAAATTCACCTTCAAAGTTATTAGTAGTCTTTGAGAGAAGATTGTAGAATTATGGCAGTGGTAATGTTCATAGAATGTGCTTACTAAAGCTTTTGATGTCTATTACATTGAATTTCTTTGTAATTAATTACTTTTTTCTTTTATGCTTCTATTTCAAAGAAATCTCACAAGTTGATTTTAAGTTCAAGCAATTGTTTAAATCCCAAAGAAAAGTTCTTAGTTTAAGCCATCACTGCCAGGTAACAGAAATCTAAGTGTGATAAACTGGCAAGGGCCAGACGCTGGACTTAGTAAAAGAACAAAGTAGCCCACAAAATGGTTATCTTTGTTGCATTTGTAAGATAATGTTAAAGTTAACAAAATGGCTTTTCAACTATTAATAAATAAATAGCCTTTTTATTTTTATTTTTTTATTTACCTTCATTGTTATGTATATGAATACTGCCCCACTCTTAAGCAAGGCAGAAATGAACTTTATTTTATGACATACTCACTAGGAAAAAAATTCCAAAAGCACATTTACGAATTCATGATTATAAATAAAGAACTGGTCTAGAAATGAAAAAACACAATGAATTTGAAGACTTTACTGGTTAAAATAAGTGGTGAAACATACAGAAAGTTGGTCATGCTTTTTCTGCACTAAACAAAATATAGAGAACTGTTACAAAACTGAATGCTTCACTACATCTAAACAAACATATAGGCCTTTTATTACAAGCCTAATCACATAAAAATTAATACATTTAAATCAAAGTTCATGTTCTTTGAGATATCTCTACATCCAAGTTGGGGGGGGATCATAACTTTACATTACCAAACATTTGGGCTTCAATCAAAATGGTTATTCTGCCACACAAATACAACTTTACTGCTTGCTTGCTCTACAATTACCATGCTAGTACCTTACTTAGTCATTTGCTTTTTCTTATTTATTTTTTGCTTTATTTTTTAAACTCTGTTTCCTGTTTTCTTGCCCCTCCCCCAACAAAAGAAAGAAGAAAAAAAAAAAAAACTTTGAAGTGGGTAATTAACAGGATTATAAATTATTACCTTAAACTTTAAAAAGCAATGTTGACAAAATTATTAAACAGGTGCTGATCTAATTCCACGTGCAATATTTGAAAGGGTGGCACCAATCTATTGAACTTAGAAGTCACGTCGATGATATCTGTCCGGGTCAAAGTATGAAGTGACAACAACACGGTTGGCAAACTTGCGGCCAGTGAGGTTCTGTTGTGCCTTCTGGCAGTCCAGAACAGAGTTGAATTCAACGAACACTTTGCCCACTCCAGGGACTTCAACTCCTTCAACAGGCCTTGGGATTTCCACCGAGCGCACTATGCCATAGCGACTGCACTCTTCACGAATATCCTCTTGGATGTCTTCGTATTCTTCATCATCCTTCAACTCCTCTGGTGTTACCTGGTGGGAAAGGAAACATTGAACTTACTGACCACAGTTATAGGTATAAAACTTTCAATAAAAATTACATATCTAACATGACTAGCCTAATTTGGACTAAACCCATTGGCAACAAGTAAACACATACACTGTATTTACGTTATAATTAAAAGAAATACTTTACAAATTAAGGAGTACACGCAAAAAAAAAAAAAAAAAAAAAATGTATTACTAGTGACATAAAAAATTAATAAATAACAAAAAGGTAGCCAAATCCGTGAGGGGCTGGCTAGTGTTAGCAGCAAATAAGCACTAACCATGTTCATGAGGCACAAGACTTCAGTCGCAGGGCCTGAGCCACTCTGCAACTGCAAACCTGGAACCTGGATCTGTACAGGAGCCTGAGCCATTGCATTGGCATTCTTTGCTCCAACACTTGCTCTCTGCACCACAAGCTTTTTGTCTCCAAGTTGCATTCCATTTAGTCCGTGGATGGCCTAAAAGTAAAACAACAAAACAAATTAGCTTAATTTAAAGGATCATTCTAAAATGCAAGTGATAGGGATTCAGGGTTGTGGGTTGTTGTGAACTAAAATCTTTTGATCTGCCTCCTCCTGTCCATTGCAATATACTGCAATATATTACATTTCTAAAAAAGCGAGGGAGTGCAACTCCAAAACATTACAATATTTCAAATGCCATAAATAATACAAGGATCATTACAAATATTTCTACATAGGTAGGTGTGTGCGTGTGCGTGTGCGTGTGCGTGTGCGTGTGCGTGTGCGTGTGCGTAGGTGTGTGCGTAGGTGTAGGTAGGGTGTAGGTAGGGTGTGTGTGTGTGTAGGTAGGGTGTAGGTAGGGTGTAGGTAGGGTGTAGGTAGGGTGTAGGTAGGGTGTGTGTGTGTGTGTGTGTGTGTGTGTGTGTGTGTGTGTGTGTGTGTGTGTGTGTGTGTGTGTGTGTGTGTGTGTGTGTGTGTGTGTGTGTGTGTGTGTGTGAATTTATTTTAAAAACAGTAAAATAAAATAATTACATTTGTGCTTACCTGGTCTGTCAGGCTGACGTCGACATACTCACAAAAAGCATAGCCTTTAGACAATCCTGTTGCCGAGTCCTTGACCAGGTTGAATGCCCGCAGTTGTCCAAAAGACATTAGCAGCTCCTTCACCTGAAATAACCACACCCATAAATGGCATTAGAGAATGTTCAATGGCTCAAATTGGAGACAATCATCTAGTGTTCAACTTACAAAGCACTCAAGCAGTAAAAATAAATGAATAATAATGAAAGTAACAATACTAATAAAACAATAACAATAAAACGAGAACTGAACGTCTGGAGTAAAGGTGCGATCATACTAGCACTTCCATTGTTAACTTTTCTTTCCATGACATTTTCTCTATTTCCCAACGACACTGCTACCTTCATCAAGAGATTCTTCAACCTTTGGTAATTCATTTCAGTTCCATATACATTCTTAGTTTTTTTTCCCCCCCCTAGGAACTGCATTAATTCCTTTTAAGTTCATTCCTTCTCACAATAGAAGTACAACTGACAATAATAATAATAATAATAATAATAATAATAATAATAATAATTTTTTTTTTTTATAAATTACATCTCTCTCTCTACACGCACACACACTCACATGTATATGTTTATACATGCACATGTGCGTGTGTGTGTGTATATATAATAAGAAATATATATATATATAATAAGAAATATATAATATATATATATATATATATATATATATATATATATATATATATATATATATATATATATATATATATATATATATATATATATATATATATATATATAGATATATATATATATAATATATATATATATATATATAATATATATATATATATAATATATATATATATATAATATATATATATATATATAATATATATATATATATAATATATATATATATAGATATATATATATATATATATAATATATATATATATATCTATATATATATATATATATATATATATAGATATATATATATATAGATATATATATATATATATATATAGATATATATATATATAATATATATATATATAGATATATATATATATATATCTATATATATATATATCTATATATATATATATCTATATATATATATATAGATATATATATATATATAGATATATATATATATATCTATATATATATATATATCTATATATATATATATAGATATATATATATATAGATATATATATATATAAAATATATATATATATAATATATATATTTATATGTAATATACATATGTAAATTTATTTATATATCATATATATATATACATACATGTTAAGCTCACAAATATACAGTTTGTGCATACATATACATAGCTACAATTTTGCAATTTTGAGGAGGGTATCTCAAGGAGAAATCCTTAGGAAAATATAACCCTTGTACAGCTACTTGAATAAATTGAGCCAAGATGTTATCTGGCAACACTAATACATTCATTTACAATACTATAAAGCCTGTTGTTGAATAAACAATACTGAAAAAGGTACAAGTAAATTTTGTGATTCACATTTCAATATTTGAAAAGAAAAAGAAATAACAATGTTGATGCCCTCAGCCTTACTCCTTACAGCTTACACCCACTACAGGATGAAAGTTCTAAAATAATGACAATAATAATAATAATAATAATAAATTAATTAAATATAACATTGAATATGAGATAATTTTCTTTTTCCTTTATTTCCTTTTCCATAACACTTCCAACATTGTTTGTCAATTGGTGGTGTATCCCCAATTAGGCCTAAATTGTTACTAATGTATAAATATTACAGAAAAGGAAGCAAAACATAAGAGTAGACGAATAATCTCCCATAACTGCATGGTCATTTAATTTTTTTTAAGTATATAAAATTTTGAGAGGAGAAACTTTTTGACAGGATAGTATCAGATGTTTCCCCTGTGCTATATCTTTAAGGAAGAATATCAACCATTTTCTTCCAAAAATTTAACAGCAACACTAAATTACATACAACTTAATTGCACATGTTACACAGATGCCTGAACATGGGAAGAGACGCATATGGAACTATCAAACATAGGCAACACATGGTTATATCCTATATTAATTTTAGTTTTATATCATTATTGCTGTTATTCTTTTGATAAATTTCTTGGAAGCATTCACTCTTTATCAAGTGTAAACTGGAAGATGCACTGCTAAAGTGTGGGCATTAACAATTGATTAGGAATTCAGAGAGGTAATGCATTTCTATATATACTATCTGATGCATTTTATTTTGAATATCAAAACACAAGTGGTAAAGTTTCCTTAGACATTTTTAACACTGTTTATTTAACAACTAGGCTTATACTGGTTATACTTGAACGCACTAGTGTTACTAGATAAAATCCTAGTTAGATAATCTTGAAGTGGCTGCAAGTTTATTCGGCCAATTGTACAAACTAAACATTTAAAAAATAAACTGCTTGTTCAATCAGCATTGTCTTCATCTTTGGCTGTGCCCATCACAACCAAAAAGCAAACTATGGACACAATGGCAACAATACGTGTAGACACAGAAGTGCTAGTGTGACGATGCTTAAACTAAACCAAGACATACTATCCTATGGGTCGCTAAAAAAGAGAACAATCCCATTTTTCATCTTAAAACACATGATAAAGCAGCTCTTCATATTGCCAAAATTTAACTAAATAAGATGAAGTTAGCTTGATAGTACGGACATCCCTGCACAACAGGTCACAAACAAAACTTTAATTATGAAAAAATATTTCCTATAACAAGTTTGGACTTACATATCTTTTACTACCATATATAGTACAAGCAATTTATATTTAAAAAGTACTAATCTCAATGATCTATATAACTTCTGCTGAACTTCATTTATCAAACCTAAGTAGCAAGCAGTCCATTTTTTTGCTTCCAATTCCCAATCTTATTACATGAATTTTTATCAAATGAATGACTCGCATTATTTGTAATATTGCCCATTCACCAAATTATTATGACAAACAACATAATGTATAATAATTCAGTCGGTTTGTCTTGCTAACTCCCACACGCATATTTTATTTCACTTTGTTCCTATCCTTTATTGATTGTGGCTTAGTGTTAGAGCACTGGTTTTGTAATTACATGGCCCTGAGTTTGCTATAGGTCAACCCTTCTCTCTAGACTCAACCCTGACAGAGTACTGGCAAAAGACTGGGGAGAAAGGAACTGGACTTAATTAAGTCTGTTCCTCTACAGACCTGTCCCCTACATCTACTTGAATAAAGGAACCAACTTCATTTGATTTTTTTTCATTACTAATTTTTAAAAAACAGCAGCACTGAAGATGGATATTATTTCTTTTTTCTATAAAAAAAAACTTAATATATTTGTACCATAATTTTAATGTACCATACTAAATTAATCCAACTATTACTTATTGATTTGCCCAGTTATAGTAATGATTCTAATAGTGAAAAATGAGGGCTTTTTGATACTACCACCCCATCTCAACTACCTGTGTGTATGTACAAAATATGCTTGTATGTGTACAGTGCGGTAACTACAAAGGAGTGTAAAACTATTATATACAAGATTATAAATATGTATATATATTTATGATAACTAAAGGTAATAAAGAATTAAACAAAGAATCAGCACCTGTTTGCTATGAGATCTGGATTCATTCTCTCTCTTTTTTAACCCACTTTCCTAAAACAACAAGTGTATGTTGTTTTATTACATGTATTATAACAGACAAATAAAATGGACAAGTTGTACCCAAAGTTTGGGAAACTGAAGTGGCATTATCATATAATTTTAAGCCTGTAATGCAGGGAGGTCAATGACAAGATAAAGAGATAAATTGTATGGAAATCCAAAACCATGCAACAACAAAAGGTGAAAAGGTTTGATTCTTTTTGTGAATTTCATAACATGTATATGTATGTATGCTATTGATGAAGAAGTGCACATAATCACAGATTACAGAAGAGGTAAATACATATATACAAACAAAAGTAAAAGTGTACACAAGAGTGCACGTGTTAGTGTAAAAACCTTTTCCCTTGACCAATGATAAATACAGAAATAACTTCTACCACTTATGTAAGTTGTCTGAATAATAAAAAAAAAAAACTAAAGCTTGAATTTTTGTTCTATGCTCAAGAATGAAGTGAACTGGTTAAGTAGACAGATATAACCACATTACCACAAGCGGTGAAGTATGCAGCATTTGTCTCCAAAATGTGAATGGCGAGGGAAGAGGAATAGAGGGGAAGGAGACAGTTGCACAAAAATGAGTTTTTGCATCAAACTGACATTGACCACTAAAATTTCATGCACTAATTTACACAAACAAAATAAAGTCAATGAAGAGATTTAAAAACAAATCACATTATATTTAACAATTGGATCTGAGAAGTGTTACCAAACCTAAGACCTTAGTCCCATATATCATTCTGAACTCAGGCAAAATGAAAATACTTACCTTTGGTGCATATTACCGAGACTTGACTAAGTCTGTTCCCTGACTTTTAGTTGTATGTATCTATACTTTTTTTCACCTGATACTTATTCTTCACATGACCTATGATGTGCTCTTGAAAATGGATTTTCAGGTAAAACTTACCTATTCCCACTCGGAACAACGACCCTAAAAAATTGGTGCGCCAACGTACGACCAAAAGACTAGAACTTGCCTTGGTCAGGACGGTTCATTATGATATGCATAGTGAGGCAGGCTTTATCATGGGCAGTACAAATGGGCCGCTTAGGGCATTCAACCACGAACCCTTCGCTAGGGGAAACAAACGGGGGAAGAAAGCAAAAAGACAGGATGAGTATATTTGGTTTCCAAATGAATTGCTATACACTTATTATTCAGTCATAATAAAGAATAAATGCTTTGTATTCCCCTCTCGAAACTAAGGCCCATGAGTAATTCCCTGTAAAAGTAAGTTTCTGAAAGAGATCCCTGAAAGAAAACCCTGAAAAAGAGCTCTGAAAGAGAACTCTGAAAGAGAACTCTGGAAAAGGACAACAACACAGTGTGACAATCTGTCCAACATCAAAATCTTTTGAATGGCTATACCAAGGCTTATGCTACAAGGCTTCCTTGTGTAAAATAAAAAGGACAATTTTGTCTACAGGGGCATCATCACCATGTAACTGATCTTACTGAACTGTAAATTTTGTGAAAAACAAAATAAAAGTAGAATATGCAAGTAGCCCTCACATTCAATGTAATGAGCTCATCATTAAAGCCAAAATGAGGAAAAGAGTGCCTAAGCCCCAATCAGAGCCTTGAAAATTTGAACACCTTAACTCTTAAAGTGACTGATAAATACTACAACGAGAGGCACCAAAGTCGGTATGAGCTGGGATGCATCTGCTTCCAATAAGGTGCTGTTTGCTGGGGTGGCGGCGGCTGCCCACTGCATCTAACCTGTCCTGACCTGCGTATAAGCCTGCAAGAGATGCGCCGAAGACGGGCCTTCCTCACTTCATCTGAACCAACCTGACCCTTCCCTTCTTTATCCAAGCCCTCTGCTTTTTCCGCCCTCACCTTGCGTCACTTATTCTTATTTTCAACTGCATTTGCATTGGTCTTTCTGATACGGGGTCTATGCTTTAGTCATGGTATATACATCAGTGACAATCTTCATGTTTTAGAAAAAGCACAACTTCTCAACAGTGCAGGTAAAAATGTTTTGATAAGTGACTCACAGGGATGTGATTTTTTCTTTTATCCACCTTTAGCTGAAATATTAATTTTACAATCTGTATGGAACACAGCCCTCTGAATAGCATAAAATGTAATCTACATTACAATAAAAAACATGAACTTGAAGTTGTCATTTTACTCAGTCAAGTTTCCATTCCTGTATGTTATTCAGAGAGGCTTTTTCAACATCAAGATTGTAATTCACTTACCTTACACAAGGTCACATTAAAAATATTGAGACCTCATATCTCTCAAGAAAATTCATTAGCACTACTTTAAATGAACTAAGGACTGCCATCAATTTTGGGAGACAGTATTCCATCTGGCAGTCACAGATATCAACAAAAATATTATAATACATGTAAAAATATCCAAAGTTTGTCTACTAAAAATGTTGGAGGAACATTTATCTTCAATCCACTTTTCATGGTTAAACTGAATAAAAATAAGAAAATAAAAATAAAAAACAACCACACAGGTATCATTCTTCAAGTCATAATATTATTTCAGAGGCAAAGTGGCTGTCATGGGCCTTCAGTAACAACTAGCACAAAGGCCATAAATATAAATAAACTAGCACACCCTTCCCATAATTAACCAAGTTGTATCAATCTATCCTACAAACTTAAGAACTAAAAAGAGGAGGAAAGAGGGAGAGAGAGATTGTAAATCAAAATTCAGAAAAGGCAGTTTGACTGTAAGTTAAGACCAGCAAGAGAAATTGTGGAGAGATGGAACAAAAGCAGACACTACACGCATTAACCCAAAACCTGTGTGCTTGTTGGACACCCAGGCTACCACGGCTGCTCTCCAACCCGCTGGGCCGCAAGTCAAACACAGCAGCTACAAACATACCTGGTCTTCATTAAGGTAATTAGGCAGACCACCAATAAAGATCTTATGGGGTGAATCGGGGACCACTGTTGACACCACACCTGCAATAACTGTAAGGAAAACAACCTTCACTTACACCTTCTATTCTGAACAACTAGATGATCATAATTATGGCATGACTATATTGCACTTTTTTTTTTTTATAAAGTCACCTAACAGTATTTCATATTCCAAATACCAAGATCTAAAGACAAAAAAGAATGACGGAATACACACAGACATATTTTTGGAATTGCCTTATCCAGACTGCGTTACCAAACTCTCCAAGTGTCCCTAGTGTTTGCACATTTAACTACATAAAAGTATGACACAGCCATACATCAAAAAAAATTAATTAATATTTTGCATAACTAGGAACACTAAGCTGTTAAAGCAGTCTTCAAAAGCAATCCCTCAATACGCTGCATGTGCTCCATGAGCTTCATACCTGGGATCTGTGTCGTACCTGGCATGGTGAGGGTCGGATGCTCTGACATGCCCGGCATTGGCTGATAATCATGAGGTCGTCTAATCTTTAAACTCTGACCCTTAAAATTAATGCCATCAAAAGCAATTGCTTGGGTAGTTTCATCAATTGATCGAAACTCCAAGAATGCAAAGTTCTTGTCCAGATTAACCTGTAAAAATAAAGGTTCCACAGTGAATTGCAAATCAGAAGATGAATTAAAAAAAAGTTATCAACAGCAAAATACCATGAGGTATGATGTTAAATTGGCAAATGGCTGCTCACCTGACAGGCTAAGACTGGGTTCCCTGCAGCCTGGGCAAGACCAGCTAGGTGCATTTGCTGGTTGAAGAATTCCATCATTTCCTCTTCAGTTACGCCAAAAGGAATGTTGCCTACATACAGACGTCGAGCCTGTCTAGTGATGGTTGAGCCCACTACAGGCACAGGCACTGTCTGAGGTACACTAGCAACTTCTGGCAATGCAGGCACAGGAACTGGTACTGTCCCTGCACTAGGTGGTGCAATCAAGGGCACGGTCACATTGGAAGGGATCTGGCCAGCAGCTGTTAAGAAACACTTGTCAGTTAACCAAAAAGAGAATTTAAAATTCAGTCTATGAATCAATTATCATAATATGTTTTTTATAATATAAACTGAAGTAAATAATTGGAAGAAGAAAGGATTCCACACCTTGCATAGCCTTGTACTGAATTGGTGTTATGTGTTCAAAGCCTGGGGGTGGTTTGTCCCAGTACAGTGAAGGCTTCTTGCGGCGAGACTTGCGGCGGTCTCTGGAACGTGAGCGGGACCTTGATCGACCCCTGGACCTGGATCTTGATCTTTAAAAAACGAGTAATGTTACTGAACTTGTGGGGGAAACTAAAAACTCTTAATACTGATTATAATATAGAATGGAAGCTTTGAAAAATCAAGAAAACTAAAATAATATCAAAATTTATAAACATACTTGCGCTTGCGACGTTCCCTTGATCTGGATCTGCTGCGCTTTTTACGGTCTCTATCCTTGTCCCTGTCTCGATCTTTGTCCTTATCACCCCTATCCTTATCTTTCTCTCCTCGCTCCTTCTTCTCCTCCCGCTCTGGAATAATAATAATAAAAATAATAATAACAAAAAGAATAACAATAATAATAATAACAACAAAAAGAATAACAATAATAATAACAACAACAAAAAGAATAATAATAATAATAACAACAACAAAAAGAATAACAATAATAATAATAATAATGATAGTAATAAGAATAAATATAATATGTATTCAAGGTTTCAAACATGTTGCGCCAAATAGCCATCTTTGTCATTATTATTATTACTAGCATGGTTTTAAAGGGGTATAAGGATTTAGGGCAGTGGTTCCCATTTAAGCTTGGTGAAAAAAATTACAGGCCAATGTTCATATGAACAATATACGATTAAGTCATGCCTGAGAAGAATATTGCATTTCAGTTTGGTAAACTAATGACTAAAACAATGTCATTGGCAGAATTACAACTGATGTGCTGGAGGACAGAAAAAGGGGGTAAGAGTTACCTAAAACGGTTGGTTACCACTGATATAGCCAAATAGAGCAAGGCTGGAATATTTTTCTATTTTGCCTTACAATAATTTTTTTTCATACAAACAGAGGGGATCTTTATATATTTGGCAATGATACACTTCACATCAACAACCAATTGGGGTTGAAACTGGTAAAAGTTTTAATGTTGAGGGAAAAGGTATAATATAACATTAATATGATCTAAAACAATTTTGTTTGTTTCATATAGACCCTTAAAAAAAAAAAAAAAAAAAAAAAAAAAAAAAAAAAAGTGAATGCATAGATTATTGCAAAGAACTGTATAAATCAATCTTAAAACACACAAAGGGAGTATAATAACATTTAACAAGTTAAAAGCATAAATGTGGCAAAGCAGCCACTGATAATTAACAAAATATTTTAACAAGCATGTAATAATAATGAACTACTTGGCATATCGCAGTAACGAGTTATGTGGTCAGTGTTGAAATCATCCTAGCAATGCAAACAAGATGAGTGACTTAGCTAAAATTGGGGGATCTCTGTTCTTAATACAAGTATCAAGACCCATCTAGCAACCTTGGCATAACCCATAAAGGAGAGAGGTGGGATGAAGAAAAAGATAATGAGAATGACGACAGCAAAGAAGGCAAAGACAACAAAGCTGGTGATAATGAAGACATTGATGACCATGAAGGCGAAGTAGATAGATGAAGCAAAAACATTCCGTATTTCACACTGTGGCAAAGCAACAGGCCTCCATCACATGAATTTTAGCAAGCCTGTATGGCTACCTGGCCATCTTTTAAAAACTTCGAAGCAACAACTCTAATAACTGATAACTTCTGTCACTCCAGGAAAGAAGGACAAATCTCAACTACATATGTTCTGCAAGATAGAGCTTGGTTCCTCATTTAACAGGAAATTAATATCAATACAGAATACAGACTGTAGTTTATTGCTTGGTGTTACCCAAGATGTGGCTACAAGCAAACATGTCAATGCAGTGTTATATTTGACAAGTGACTGCAGAGTCCTTTTCACTTTTTGCAGGTTGTTTTTTTTATGAAATAGTATTTAACTTTTCAATGCTGTTATCATAATGAACTGGGAATACATTTTATGTAGGAGTCAGGAATAAAAAAAATAAAAAATAAAAATAAAAATAAAAAAGAAATAAAATAGAAAGATCTTTTTTTTATATACATATACATATATATATACATATACATATACATATACATATACATATACATATACATATACATATACATATACATATATAAATAAATAAAATGGTTACCTTGCTGTAACCTGAAACACATGGCATCTATGGGAAAAGATGTGCTAATCAGAAATAAAGGAGATTCATGACAAAGAAAAGAGATCAACTCATCTTTTTCCAAGTCACTCGACTATGACCACATAATTCCAGTGATTTGTTAAGTAGTTCATGTATTACTATGTGATTGTGATGGCAATTATTTTGTATTTATCAACGCATGTATTTAATGCATTCTTCTATTATCAAGTGCCCCAAATGCTGAAAAGCCGAGCAATTCTGATTGTTGACGGAAGCGAAGGAAAGTCTGCCATTTTGCTATGGCTATGGAATATATAGATTGTATCAAATTAAACCCATATCCCTCTGGCTAGGAGCATATAATATCCCCTGGCAAGGGAATATAGAGATGGTAGTGTATAAATGCATCATGGTTAAGGTTAAGTTGGTTGACAATTAAGGACATATTGTATGGTTACGAAGGGGGGTTTGCATTGTGTGAATAGAGATTTTACCAAATGATGGGCCTGATTTATGTAAAAGTATGTTTATTTACCACACTAGTTATCTGCTCAGGTGTGGGCAATTGTGATTACAGTTTTATAGATATTTCACATAGTGCAGTATCCTGTGACAAGTAACTGTGCATGGTACAACAATAAATCATACAACATGCAAAAAAAATATTACATTGTTATGCTTTTGCCACTTTTTACACAGTTCTTTGTTTACGGCAGTTTTACATGGTAAATTTAGGATACAGTATGAGTATATCTTCCTTTGTATCAGATGAAATAAAATATTCAGTTCTTTCTACCTCAGATTAAATGGTCTGAAAGGCTGTGACATTCCTAAATATTGTGCTCAAGCATTAATTTGTTTTCTTTATTACAAGTCTACATCTAGATTCATCTGCACTGCTTGCACCATGCAGTTGTCAGTACATTCTGTAACTTAAACATTCTGGCAACAACCATGTCACATTGTCTGGTTTGACTTCAGGTTTGCTATCTCTATGCTGATTGTAGTGCCTCATGGTACCACTTTCAGGACTTTGAGATCAACTAGTTCTTCCTTATGAGAACTTTTCCATATATGTGCAACCCTAGGGAGAGGCATCCCAAGATGTATGTTTACAGTATCTTTGCTGCAGACTTCTTTCGCCAATTTGTCTACATGGTCGTGCTTGCATATGCCAAAATGTGATGGAATCCATACAAAATGAATGTTGAAATTGCACTCTATTGCATAAGTTGTGTTACGTCTAACGCAACTCACAATTTCCTCATCGCTACCTGCTTTGAATGCATTTAGTGTCCGAAGAGCACTTTCAGCCACAGAAAACTATTCCAGAGCCCAAGACAAAGAATTCCATTGCAATTAGTATGCCTGCCAACTCCATTTGTATAATGCTGGCAAGAATTCTGCAATCTCATATTAACTTAATGTTGCAGTAACCCATTATTGGATACAGCACAAGCACAACCAGCTTTATATCCAGACTGTACGGGTCCGTTAGTGTAACACTCTTATAGATCACTGCCCATAGATTGTGTGTTCCTTTAACGCAATTTGTTTTAACATGCAGTTATGTAGTTTCTTTTTGTGGTATACATGTATGGCGCACAATCAATGTTGAATTCTGAAAGATACAAGGGCATCCCTCAGAGCTCTGACCCAAAATATGGTGGAAATAAATATCATTCTATCAGAAATGGAGCTTAACATTAGTGTTGGTTGTGTGCATTCTCGTTCAATATTATTTTACTTTTGTTTTATCCCATAGTTTCCCAAACTTCCTTTATACCCTCCCCTACTATCGGGATTTGTCGCATCAAGATTGTCCTCTTCCTCTGTGCATCACTCTCATTAACAGTAACCTTAATTTTTTTTTTTTTTTAGCTTTCAATAAAGCCAAGCTTCCACGAGATGATAGTATTGATCCACAAAGGTTTATTTTAACCAAGTTACCCACTTCTTTTTTGTCTTTTTATAACCTAATGCAAAACTTGGCTTGGGATTTAAATTTCATCCACTCTAATAAATGCCAAGTTGGCTTTCTACAGCTAGAAGCCAGATGAGGCTTGCTGGTGTAAAAATAAATAAATAAATAAACATCAACAGGGCTATATACTTTCCTCCCCCCCCCCCCCTTGAGCATCACAAAATGTAGGCCTATGGCTCAGAAAATCTTAAAAGAAAAAAATATCAGAAAAAAAACTATAATCAATGCATTTCGCTTAATTTGTTTACACACAAAGAAAGCCCCAAAATATGGCTTTTCCAGGAAACTCTCCCTCGAAAATCCATCCAACGGAAAGCCCTTCGCCCCTTCATAGGACTCCGCCTCTCGCTCCTCCTCCCTTTCCCTCACCTTTCTCGGGCTTCTTCTCCTCCCTGTCCTCTCCCATCTCTTCCGCGTCCTCCTGCGCCTCGGGAAGTCACTCTCCTCGCCCCCGCGCCGCCAAACCGCAGGGAAAACGGGCGAAAATCGGCACAAATCCCGCAGAAAGTCGCAGTGACGTCCACACCGGCACTCCGTCGATATCCAACATGGCCGCCGAGGAAGCATGCTGGACGCTCGGCTGCCGGCGCTGCTGATTGGC